AACTCAACTATCCTTAGGGTGTAATGGTGATATATTCGAACGATTTTTTTTCTAAATCGGATAAAAATTATGACCTCTATAGGGTTGACAAGCTAAAAACGTGATTTTTCGTACAATCAGAGGCCATAATTCAGGCTGTTACAGTCAGATATGCGCGAATATCGAAAAGAAACGAGATCTTTGTGTTATAAACTTACATTTCAAGTTTCAACAAAATTGGATAAAAATTGTGACCTCTATAGGGTCCCCAACCTTGATATACCATACTTTTACGCCATTTTGTCTGTCAGTTTTGAGCCGATTTTCACGAAATTCAAACTCTGCCGTACTTAGGGTGTAACGGTGATATAATAATACGGTTTTTCAAATCGGATAAAAATTATGACCTCGATAGGGTCCACAAACTAAAAACGCGATTTTTCATACAATCAGGGACCATAATTCAGCAAGTTACGGTCCGATATGGGCGAATATCGAAAGGAACCTAGATCTTTGGTTTAGAAACTTACATTTCACGTTTCATCAAAATAGGATTAAAATTGTGACCTCTATGGAGTCTATAGGGTCCACAAGCTAAAAATAACGTGATTATGCGTACAAACAGCAATCTGAGTAAAACACAGATCCAATTTCGTTTCGTTTTTATAGAATCAAAATTTCGATTTTACTTGTCTTTACTACACTTGGACCTGGAAGCGTTGTTATTTAACTCGTGTTCTGCTTGAAATGAGGGGTCAGCCAATCGAATGGTCTGTCGAATAGAGCGTTTGACCTTTTTTGCGTGGAACTGTGGGTAGACATTAGCAGCAATAGAAATCAAAACAAAGCAAAAGTAGATAAAAAATACATGGCAGTCGCTAATTGGTTAATCGAATGACTGACGTAATCTGGTCAAATGTCGCTTGCTTGGTACCTGACGTCATAGAACATGAACTCCCACTTTAACTTGTTAGATCTACATGTAGTGTAGGTCATCGAAAGTATAAAAAACTAAACGAAATATAGATCTATATTTTAATTTCGATCCGATACATGCCAATATCGAAAGCAACCAAGATCTATTGGAGATAAACCTATATTTCAAGTTTATTCAAAATCGGGTAAGAATTTTGACCTGTAGAGTGACCACAAACAAATTCTGGTTCGGCGGCCATCTTAAAATGAACAATAAATTTCGCATTAAATTTCGTTTAATCAAATCATATAATTATGCGGTAAGGTTTCACATTTTTTTTAGTGGGAATTGGTTTATCATGCACAGTGCAGTTTGGGGTCAGTGTAATTGGAAATTAAGGGATTTACAGGCCAGTAACCTTTTTGTAGTCAAATGACTATAAAACTTGCTCAAAGGAAGACCCTAGGACAGTCCACTGCTGTGGCTGGAGCAAGACGGAAGACATCAGTAGTGGAACCATGTCTAGACATGAATGTGCCAATTCTGTAACATAAAATAAAGTAGGCCTACTTGTGTAGGGCATTGGCCTAGCTATTCGATAAATCAGTGTATGGCAACCTTGAAATAAAATACTCATGGGCTTCTCCGTATCTTGTACTAACAAGATATAGCAATCTTGTAATTAATTACAAGATAACCACTAACTAGAATTTTTTTTTTTTTTTTTTTCATTTGATTGACCGTAATAATGCCTTTAATTATTAATGGTCTTGCGTTATTGGGTAATTTGATGCCCCCCCCCCAGACCAGGGTGTTGATGGATATTTTAAAATATTTTTAAAACCGGGGCTCGTAAGTTTGTTAAATAATCATAATCACCACGAATTGGACATTTTCCATCTAATATTCTGTTTTTAGGCTCTAAAAACAAAAATTCCCAATTACCCCTAAGTACCACTATGATTTCCAGTCAATAAACTCAGTCGATGGTTGCCTAAAATTTGGGAATAGTTTGTTTGACTTGGATAAAAAAACGCACTAACTCAAATATCATTACGTCGTTTTTGTCTATTTTGTTTATTTTCCCCCAAGTTCAAATCTGATAGTTGAAATCAAAACTTAATTGAGAATTTCCTTCAATAGCAATCCCCTAAACAACCTGTTGACCTCTCTTTGCGAGTAAGGTCATCACCTAGGGTTAAGGGTCAACGACTGAGGTCATCGACGGAAAAAAATGGCCGTATTATAAACAACTTTTTTTAGTCTGTGTCCGATGCATAAAACTGATGACAGCATTGTATCTAGTCGCTTCGGAATAAAAACAACGATGTGGAGGGATTTATAGAGGAGTAGGCTACATGTTGTGAAGCCCCCCCCCCCCCGGCCCCTACCCCATGCCCCCGGCTTCTTCAGCTATGGCTACGAGCATGATTTGCTACTCTATATTATCTTAGTCCACTGCCACCGCTGCTTAATATTGAGCGACTGGTTTATTCGACTGAACTATTTGACTGATGTTATAGACTGAACTAATTGATTGATTTTATCGACTGGACGAGGCCACATGAAAATGTTAAATTCCACATACCCACACGCCACCTCCCACCCCACCCCATCGCATCCCCTTTCTATGTTCATGTCATATATGTATCACTTAAGACTGGCCATTTAAGTAGCCATAGCTGAAGGAGCCGGGGGCATGGTGCTGGGGGTGAAAAAAAATTTTTTTTAAATATTTTGTGAAAATATACATAATATGCTACCCAAAACATTTTATTTCATCAAAATATTCTAATTAGATCCAAAGTTACGGAATTTTAAAATCCGAGATCGACGTCAATAATGTAATCAAAATGCTCTATAGCAGTCAATGCGTGCCATGACACCAAAATAAGTGATTTTCAGTCATATCCGAGTGACGTCATAAGCGGTATTTTCCCTTCAGAATCGCTGGTACCAATTTTAAAACTAAAATCCGCACGCTATAGTCAGCTAAGATTTATTAAAATCGTAATAATTTGAATGATAATGATAATATAATCTTGATAGTAGGCTATATTCAGTCGAAATTTAGCAAATTTCAGTCAGTAAAACAGATAATCTCATTTTCTACGGCTGTAGAAGTAATAAAGGTGGTCAACAAGCCATAGAGGCTTAATGGTAGACCGAAGAAAAGGTATATAAAAGGTATAAAAGGTATGTAATTGTTCTATTTCGGGGTATCACGCACCATAATAATCACAAAAATGTTATCTATCGTTTGATTGGCTCTGTGTAGAAATCCCCCGGAAACTAAGGTGCGGATTCACCAATGAGTGGGTCGTAGCAATGGAAAATCCCCGGCCGTGTGACATCAGAGTGGTATTTTCCCACGAGCGTCTCCTGTACGTAAATGGTAATTTTGCTTACATTTCGACAATTTTGGAGCCTGAATCTTTGCAGATATTGAGATTGATATTAAACTATTACAATACAATTGCTAGTAATACATATAAATAAAACAGTAATTCAGAATCGTAGATTGAAGTGGCTATATTTCAGCCGCTAGCTGTCAGATTTCACGTTAATGTCACGTGACCTGAAACCCCTACTCAATATGACGAGGGAAAAAGTAAAGCATGACTTTATTAAAGATACATTATGGGAGATAAGATAAAGAGATGGCAGTTCTCGCAATAATAGTTAAAAACTAGACAGTGTAAAGGTAATTTGCTGAAAATTTCAGTCAAATGGATCCACTATTAGCCGAGAATGAAGCGGGTGAAATTTTTGCATAGTCTTGGTCATCATTACTAAAATCATTAATATAAACAGCAGTCTCGATTATCCACTTTTTCTGATTTAATTATCAATGGCCGTTAGCGGCATATAGGAATATAATCCAGCCAACATCGAAGGCTAGCCTTGACATCGAGAGTTTATTATGGTCTGGATAAGTTAATTAATGTCTAATTGATAATTTAGATAACATTTCAGGCCTAAAGAAAGACTTGTAATAAGCAGATTTTGCTCTTGCATAATGCATGTTAAAGCAGCAGTGGCAATAAGATAACACCTTAAAGTTTTAATTTGAACAATCAAATTTGAACATGAGGGAACATAAAAAAAATAGACAAAAACAATGATAAACGATATTGGAATTCAATTAGTGCGTTTTTTCTTTAAAGGAGCTAAATCGCTAACATTTGGGACCTAGAAATTGACAAAAGTGGGTCGCAACGCATATAATACTGTAATATGAATGTATATAAACTGATTTACATTCAATGGTTTCCGTTTTTACTCCAATTTCAAATCATTTATGTTCGGCGAAATAAGCCAGCAGTCTCAAGCGAGTGCAAATTTCTAGCGTCTGATTATTCCAGTCTACATACGCCGTTTGATTTGATGCAATGTGTCTAGCCTCGTCCCTCGAGTCTCTTGATACAACTGGGGCTGAAGCGCATTATGGTACACAATTCGTGTACCAATGGTAAAATGTTTATTTTGTCTTAAATATTGGATATCAAAAGCCCATCTTTTTCTGGTAAGATCACAACATGAATGTTGATTTAATTTGACAAATAAATCGTGTTTTAAATGTTGAAGATTTTGGACGATATTCAAGTTAGAGACTTAGCTAGTGTAGCTACTTTAACTTATATTTATTACAAACTATTCCAAAATTTTTATAAGCCATTGACTGGTTTATTCCAATGACGTCGTTAGCATAGACGTCATTGGTTTATTCGACTGACTATTTGATTTGGACTTAGGGTTGACCATAGATTTATCTGTAAACACTCTTTATAACTCTACTCTATGGGCTTGACTCAAAATTCCCCAATTCCCATGAATTATCTCAGAGTACCTTTTTGTGATTTCTTTCCACGAAAGAGTTCCTATTGCTGTGCCGCTTAAACATTGAATATATATGTCGTGTATAATAGATCAGTGGTCGTATGTCATCAAATCCTGTAATTAAACCCTGCTTGAAGGTCTTAACTCTTAGAAAATACCATTACATTCAAAACAGCATTAGATAAGTGAAAGTTATAATTTTGTTTAGTTGATAAGCGGTGGTCAAATAAGGGCAAAGGTTAAAGGTTATGTACGGAAACATAATATAGTCTCGATTATTCGCATTGATAGCGTATAATAAACCTGATGTCCTGATAATCGAAGTAAAATACCCAGGGCAGCTGACAAAAAGAAAGGAATCGTGAGCTAATGTTTTGCAAATATATTATTAATATGATAAAATGTCTGCTGGACTTTTCATTGTTTCTCTATACATTATTTAAAATTATTGTCAGAGCAGCATTTTTTTTCGTTTTACCAAATACCGTGAAAGATATTGGTGATGATGTGATAGTTATAACTGGAGGAGGTAAAGGAATTGGTAAAGAAATTGCAGTGCAGTTTGCAAAATACCATCCGTCTCATGTAGGTATACATCACATGTACAGTTATAATTACTACAGGAAATGAAATGCAATGGGGTTTAACGTCCTACTGTTCTGCACCTACTGGGCTAATGCAGACTAGGCTTACTATGAGGGGAATTTTGCCCAGGCCGCGGCACTGCAGCCTACTACTCATATATCGAATTCCAACTGCCAAGTGCCAGGCGATCTTTTAGTTTATGTGCATGCCAATGTATACACGGGTCCTTGGTTTTCGTCCCATCGAAACGACTAGACAGCTGTTCTTGTCAAGCCCTTCGTTCTGCATCACTGACAAGGGAAACCACGCCTGAAAATCTGGATGAACTTTCTCGGCCAATGCAAGGATCGAACATGCGACCTTCCAAGCTAGCAAGCCAGTGTCTTACCCACTTATTTTACTACAGAGTACAGTAATGATTGAACTGTGTTCCTGGCAGACACCAACAATACAAAATTCAAACTATATATTGGTCTAGGGATAGCACGATCCAGCCAAACCACCATTTTTACTTCAACACATTTCATAATAATTTATATAGATATTTGATAATATACCTTTCTTTATGCTAAATTGTTATATATGATTTAAAATTGTAACGTTTTTGTGTCAAAATGCTCCTCAAAATAGGCCTACAATTTCCAAGTAAGCTAGGAAGTTAAGTAAACAAATCGACCATTATTTCTTTGAACTCGTATCACAATAGTTTATATTGATATTTTATAATATAGGCCTACTGTTCTTTACATATTATGCCAAATTGTCATTTTTAATTGAAAATGGTATAAAAAACGGTGTATTTTCAAATATCAATTTTATTCAATATGAACTATTATAATATGAGTTGAAATAACAGTGGATTTGGGTAAATTGTGCTACTAGTCTACTGAACCATCTAATTTATAAATCAGAGATCTCGATTTACTGTAAAACAGAGCATTGAACAATTCTAAATCGTTTACAACAAAATTGTGTTATTTCTAGTTTCTTAAATTCGATTTCCCATTAAAATTTTCCTACAAATAAAAAAAGTTATCTCTTACAATTAACATTCATAATTTTTCTTCATAAGTTGTTGAATGATTTTCAGTAAGGGTGTGAAAATTCTATTTCCAATTAAAATTTTCCTACAGATAAAAAAAATGTTATCTCTTACAATTAACATCCATAATTTTCCTTTTAATAAATTGTTGAATGAAAATAACCTCAACAAAACCAGTCTGATTTTCAGTAAGGGTGTGAAAATTTGTTTCAACCATTCCTATTTCAATGAATAGATCACAGGTATAGACATGTCGGTTAACAGATATGTTACAATATATCCACAGATTATGCTTTCTTTCAGTTTCTAATTGATCACCCTGAATTAAGATTTCCCATGTTGTCACCTCTGTGTCATGATTGATGATGAAAACCATATGCACTTAAAACAACACACTGTTATGGCCCTTGATCACTTGATCATCTTGTGGACGCTCTAGAGGCTAAAGTTAATATCCGATTGACTTTAAATTTATACACAGTGTTTAAGATCATGAAGCAAAGTTAGCCTATTGATTTTCAATGATTTCCAATAATTACTGCTGGAGTAATAGCCCTTGATCACTAGAAGCTAAAGTTAATATCGATTGAATTTGATTTGTTTAAGGTCATTAGATGAAGAAGCCTGTTGATTTTTGACGATTTCTGATAATTACCGCCAGATTGCCCTAGATCACTTTGAAATATCTTGTGGACACTCTATAGGCTAAAGTTAATATCTAAGTGACTTTAAATTTATACACAGTGTTTAAAGCAGGGGTCACCAGTTGGTCCAGCCCAGCGTTGCATGCTAAAAATAAACCTAAAAAAAAACCCACACTTTGACTTCTTACATAACGTATATCGTGCACTGAGTCAGTAACGTCAAGCTATAGGTATGCATTGTTGCTAGGCCAAGGTTATATTTATGTGCAGGGTTGTTACTGACCAGATACACTGCTGCCCTATGATTGACTGGTGTGCATTTCTACAGTCTACAGAAACTACATGCACCTCAAGCCAGACAGTTATTAGTGACAACAATTGAAAAGAAAATATCTGACACGGACGTCTAAGTCTGCGTAAGATTAAAATATTGTATTGAACAAAATTTTTATCAAGCCAGCGCTCGGCATTCTTTCAGTTATATCTGGCCCACTATAAAAAAAAGTTTGGTGACCCCTGGTTTAAGGTAATGAGACGATGAGGCCTATTGATTTTCAACGATTTCCAATAGTTACTGCCAGAGTTATGACCCTTGATCACATTAAAAAAATTTGTGGACGCTCAAGCGGCTAAAGTTAATATTTTTAAGAAAAAAATATGCGACAACCGTTGTTGACTGCCCAGACGACTTGGCTGCTGTGGCGAATGTTTTGTTGCCTGGAAACCTATCTTTAATAAAGCCTTCAATCTGGATCAAAAAGACAAATTTTTGGCAAAACAAACTGAGAGTATATTTTTGTTGATTTTAGACATCAACACCTTTATTGACACATAAAATATTCTATTTAGATTGTATTATGGGGTCGAACAGAGGCAAGTCTCCAGTCTACAGCAAAACACGTGAGAGAATGTGGTGTGAAATGTACACCTATGGTTTGTGATGTTAGTCAAAAAGATATGATATATAAATGTGTGGGTACAAGTATTTTTTTTTTGGTCATTGATTGTAGACAATTTGTATTATGTTCAATATAACCATATAAATATAAAACACAGTTTTAACTTTTGGGTAAGTAAAGTTATTTTGATATCAGTGATATAGTGAGGGGGACGCAATGACATGAGTTTCTGTCCCCTTTGAGTTTTCGCGCCCCATAATGGAAAAAATCATGTGGTTTTTGGCAGATTCTGAACTCCACTATTTTATAATCATACCAGCAGGATACCCGGCTTCGCTCGGGGGTCATAACTCCGAAACCGGAAGTGGTAGACTAACGCCACCTGGCCTATGTTACTCCGAGGTCGGAGCTACCCCTATACCCCAAATTTCAGACTCGGGGCAGACCTGGTGTAGCCGCCGAGCCCGCTTCGCTCGGGGGTCATAACTCCAAAACCGGAAGTGGTAGACTAATGCCACCTGGCCTATGTTACTCCCCGGTCCGAGCTACCCCTATACCCAAAATTTCAGGCTCGGGGCGGACCTAGTCTAGCCGCCAACCCCGAACAGACAGACAGACAAACAGACAAACGACAATCACAAATATTAGTATAGATTGCTAAAACATAGTCAAACTTGAACTCACCCCATTATAACTTTTGGGGTTTTATGCATCCTCATCTAAAATCTGCAGTTACCAAACACCTGTTCACAATACACGACTGTTTCTGCTACTTGATTTACTTAAAGAGGACATTAAATGGTCATATGAAAGTTGTATGTACTTGAAGGCAGTGTTTATCATAAATACTTTAGCCAATTGCACACCATTGACAATTATTTGATACTAGCAGGATACCTGGCTTCGCTCGGGGATCATAACTCCGAAACTGGAAGTGGTAGACTAACGCCACCTGGCCTATGTTACTCCCCGGTCCGAGCTACCCCTCTACCCCAAATTTCAGACTCGGGGCAGACCTAGTGTAGCCGCCAACCCCGAACAGACCGGCTTCGCTCGGGGGTCATAACTCCGAAACCGGAAGTGGTAGATTAACGCCACCTGGCCTATGTTACTTCCCGGTCCGAGCTACCCCTATACCCTGAATTTCAGACTCGGGGCAGACCTAGTGTAGCCGCCAACCCCGAACAGACAGACTGACAGACAAACAACAGTCACAAATATATATATAGATATATGACTGTTTATGTGTCAGACTCTCTAAATAGTAAGTGAGGGGGGGGGGCTGTACCACATAAAGTTACACAAAACAAAACTACAGACAAGACACAATATGTAGAAATCACAAACAAACGTACATATCAGATTAAGTGAATGGATCAGGGGACTAGCCGTAAGCGTCCACTGCGCTGTACAGTACCTGGCCTGTAGTGATACAGACTTCACTAAAAATTAATAAAAGACAAACGATCAGGAATATAATCCAAAGAAAAACATTGTGTAATACTAGTACGATGATCTGCTATATGCCACATGAAATATGAATGTAAGCATATTGAAGTAAAAAATTACCTATACATTTTAAGTGTTCAAAATAATTGAGGTATATTGACTATAAGAAAGGGCATATCCAGTTATCTCAAAAACAGAGGAAATCAGCGGTTGCCAGGCAAGATACGCCCACATTTTGCAAGAGATGGATAGAGAACAAGCTAGAAACAAAAGCGATTCTTCGGACAATCAAGGGCCATAATCCAGTAAAGTTATGATCTGAAATGCGCAAATATCGAAAAGGACTGAGATCTTTGGGATATAAAGATATATTTTAAGTTTCATCAAAATCAGATAAATATTGTGACCTCTAGAGGGTCGACAATCTTCATATTACATACTTTTACACAATTTGCGTAAAAGAGCAACTATTTTGTCGGCCAGTTTCGCTTTGATTTTCCCAATGGAATGGTGATATATTTAAACGGTTTTTAAAATCGGATAAAAAAATTGTGACCTCTAGAGAATCCACAAGCTAAAAAACATGATTTTTCGTACAATGAAGGGCCATAATCCAGGAAGTTATGATCTCTGATATGTGCAAATAGTGAAAGGAACCAAGATCTTTGGGACGTAAACATATATTTTAAGTTTCATCAAAATCTGATAACAATTGTGACCTCTAAAATACTTTTACACTATTTGCATTCAAGGAGCTGCAATTTTGTCAGTCAATTTTGGTCCGATTTTCACGAAATTAGAACTCATCCATTATTAGGGTGTAACGGTGATATACTAAAAGGTTTTTGTAAATTGGATGAAAATTGGGACCTCTAGAGCATAGGTTCCCAACCTTTTTTGGGTGGCAACCCCATTCCATTTTACTATGAAACGTCATTATCATTCACTTTTATTATTGTTTACTTATTAAAAGTCTGATAAATTATTGATTTTTTTAATCAGTTTGATGGTTGCACCTGTTTTTCAGCGACCAGGTTTTTAATGCGTGGCTCAACGCCACTCAGCGCGACAATCATGTCCCTTTCTATTTCAAGCCGGTTCCTAAATGACATTGAACGGACCTTGAACTTTGCCACTCGATTATCACAGGTAGATATTTCAGTTGGAAAGCGTGAGACTTGGTATTCGCGATGATATTTTTTATCGAGGAATCTGAGAGGTCTAGAGCTGGGTCCTAGACAAATTGAAATTAGTGACGAAAAATGTAGAGTGTTACGTGAAGGCCTTGATAAGATGTACGGAGTTAAAGCAAGATCAAGATGAAAAGATAGCATTTTTTTTTTAAAGTTCTCAGACGAGTCCGCGACCCAACGAAAAGTCTTCGCGACCCAAGTTGGGTCGTGACCCGGAGGTTGGGAAACGCCGCAGTCTAGAGGATCCACAAACTAAAAAATGTGATTGGTCGTACAATCAGGGGCCACAATCCAGGTAGTTATAGTCTGATATGCATGAATATAGAAAAGAACCAAGATCTTTGGGACATAAAGATATTTATTAAGTTTCATGAAAATCGAACAAAGATTGACCTCTAGTAGGTCCACAAACTTGGTATTACATACTTTTACACTATTTGCGTTGAAGGAGCGGCCATTTTGTCCGGAACTTTCGGTCAGATTTTTACGAAATTTGAACTCAACCTTTCATTGATGTGTAACGGTCATATATTTAAATGTTTTTTAAAGTTGAATTCAAATTGTGACTTCTAGTGGGTCCACAAGAGAGCCGTCTGCTCACTGAATGACGTGACGTAAAAGGCGGTAGGTTGCCAAATGACACCATGAGTTAAAATGTAATAAAAAGGGTGTTAATTCACGTAAGATAATGCCAAAAGGTTAATAAACTATCAATTGAGGAACTAATCGGAATTATTCAGCTATGTGATTGCTCGAAATATAATACGTAATACACTTATAAGAAATGCAAACCAGGCATGTTGAAAAAATCGTACTGACATGTATTTATATGTGAATATATATTGTCGTCGCCCCTGTCCAGACATCTGTCCGTCCACAATCTGTGGACACTCTACAGGTCACAATTTTTATCCGATTTTGAGGAAACTTGAAATATAGGTCTAAGTTCCTTTCAATATTCGCAAGTATTGGACCATAACTTTATGAATTATAGCACCTGGTTGTACATAAAATCACATTTTTAGCTTGTGGAAACTCTAGAGGTCACAATTTTGATCCTATTTTGATGAAACTTGAAATGCATGTTTATAACCCAAATATCTTGTTTCCTGTTGATATTCGAGCATATCGGATCTTAACTTCCGATTTAAAGAAATGATTTTGTATATCACCGTTACACCCTAATGATGGTTGAGTTCGAATTTCCTGAAAATCATACCAAAACTGCCGGACAAAATGGCCGCCCCATGTACGCAAATAGTGTAAAATATGGTATATCAAGGTTGTGGACCCTCTAGAGGTCACAATTTTGATCCAATTTTGATGAAACTTGGAATGCATGTTTATATTCCAAAGATCTTGGTTCCTTTCTATATTCGCGCATATCTGATCGTAACTTCCTGAATTATGGCCCCTGATGGTACGAAAAATCACGCTTTTAACTTGTGGTCCCTCTAGAGGTCACAATTTTTATCCAATTTACAAAAACCTTTTAGTATATCACCGTTACACTCTAATGATGGTTGAGTTCAAATTTTGTGAAAATCGGACCAAAACTGTCGGACAAAATAACCGCCCATTGTACGCAAATATTGTGAACATCTGGTATATCAAGGTTGTGGACCTCCTAGACTTGAAATGCATGTTTATAACCCAAAGATCTTGGTTCCTTTTGAAATTCGCGCATATCGGATTGTAACTTCCTGAATTATGTCCCTTGATTGTACGAAAGATCGCGTTTTGAACTTGTGGTCCCTATAGAGGTCACAATTTTTATCCGATTAAAAAAGAAACGTGTGAATATATCAGTTATACACTAATGATGGTTGAGTTCGAATTTCGTGAAAATTGGACAAAAATTGTACGCATTTTGTTTAAAAATATGGTATATCAAGGTTGTGACCCTCTAGAGGCCACAGTTTTTATCTGATTTGGATGAAACTTTAAATATATGTTTTTATCATAAAGATCTTGTTCCTTTTGATAATCACACATATCTGAACGTAACTTCCTGGATTATAGCCCCTGATTGGTCGAAAAATCACAAATTTTTAGCTTGTGGGTTCTCTAGAGGTCACAATTTCTTTTCTGATTTTAAAAAACGTTTAGATATATCACCATTCCACCATAATGAAGGTTGAATTGGAATTCAGGAAAATCGAAATGAAACTGCCCGACAAAATGGCCATTCTTTGTACACAAATTGTGTATTAGTATGTAATACAAAGGTTATGGACCCTGTAAAGGTCACACTTTTTATCCAATTTTAATGAAACTTAAAACATATCTTTATATTCCAAAAATCTCAGTTGGTGAATGCGGTTACCATAAAAATAGATACATGATCGTGACACAGTAGTAATGAAAATTGTGACTAGACTATAATTGTGTCACCATTGCAGGGCTCAGAGTAAAGTAATTAACATATTCTCTTTTCATTATCTATTTTTGAACTATTATAGCGAAAACTGTCAGCTCTTTGTCTAATGTGACCTAATGTCTCTTTAATATTTGTGCTTTTCTAGGTTTAAAATATACAATCTGCAGTACACATATTTAGAGTTCTATAGGTAAAGTTAGTATATTAGTTAATATTTTAAGATATACAAAATATTATAGGTGAAGTTAGTATATTAGTTAATATTTTAAGATATACAAAATATTATAGGTGAAGTTAGTATGTAAGTTAATATTTTTGTTTTTCTAGGCTAAAGATATACAGAGTAGTATAGGAGAAGTTAGTATATTAGTTAATAATGCAGGTGTTGTATATGGTCAATCTATTTTAGAAAGCAGCGAGGAAAATATTGAAAATACATTTCAAGTTAACACTTTATCACATTTTTGGGTGAGTAAAATGCAATAATTTTGTATCTCTAAATAAAGTTGTAATCGTATATTTTTTACATTATATCTGAAATGATACTGCAAGGAAAGCATATTCCACAATATAACATTTTTAACATCGCTACCATTATATATTAGATGAATGAATGAGCACTTGTGTTGCTTTATAGCAGTATCTGACTCGGTGGTTAAGAGGGCCAGAGGGGTTGATTAATTTGTACCAATTTCTAATAAAGAGTATTTTATCAATGATATACCTGAGTTAGCACAGGTCACACAACATGCAACTTACATTTTAGCTTGTTTACCACCAAAACACTTTTGATTTTTGAACAAAAAGGCTCTAAGTTATATTGATGTAGATGAAAATGGCAATATATTTGACGAGCTAGCAAAGAGACAAAGCACTGGAGATTGTTTTGCATGTTTTTTGGATGTTATTATATAATTAATCTGTGAATTGTTATAGATTGTGCTGCTAGTCTAGATCTTTTGTATATTTGGTGGCCAATTGCTTCCATACTAATTTGTTCAAATTTTGTTTAAAACATTTTTCAGACAATGAAAAGTTTCTTACCAGGGATGATAAATAAAAATCATGGTCATATTGTAGAGATTAGTTCTGTACTAGGATTAATGGGATTAAGAGATGCTGGTGATTATTGTAGTTCTAAGTTTGCAGTGACTGGACTAACAGAGAGTCTTTATGATGAACTGGGATGTATTCCGAACAATAATATTCACGTAACTAGTATTCATCCATATATTGTGGCTAATGATATGTTCTCTGGCATAAGGACAAGGTGAGTGGCCCATATAGAAAACTAATTTTTCTTATGAATTAGTATATATCAACTGGAGATTTTTAGTATAGTGTATTAATGTGATCTGGTTTAGGTTATTATCTTCATATTTAGTTTTAGGTTGTATTTGGGAGCTGCAATGAATCAGTGAGTAAGGTGTTGGCTTGCTAACTAGAAGGTTTTAGGTTTGCTCCTGGTGTTGGTCGAGAAAGTTCCATGGGATTTTCCACAGTAGTTTTCCCTTGTCATGAGGACCTGGCAAAGAACAGCATCTAGTTATTTGGATGGGATGAAAAAACAAGGTCCCTTGTACACATTGGCATGTACATAAAACAACTCTTTACATTTCCATTGTCATGCTGAGATATACTGAAAATACCTGGTATCTCCAATATTAAAATGTTTAGTAGAGCCATATTTCCCAGGGCCGGATCAAACTTGTGGGGGCAGGGGCTGAATTTAGAAAAAACGTATTGTTCAGTGCAGCGCAACGATTCAATTTAGTGTCAAAGGAACCCAATCAAGGAGCCAGGAGTTAAAATGGAGCCTGATTGTGGACTGAATGAGTGCCCAGGTTATCTTTTAATCTTTTACACAACCCAAAATGTGGTGGGGGTGGGGGCAAATATGGAGGGCTTGTAGATCTTGTACTATGTAATATTGGCCAATGTATAAGATGTACCGCTTCTTCAGTTTACAACTACACTATCTCAACTTGACAATAGCAACTATACAACCGATTAACAAGGACTTCACCTATATGTTAACAACATATTAGTTTCTTTTAAATTATTAAGACACTGATAGTACTGATGAAACAATTCTGGTAATCATGCGATCCAGTCCCCCCCCCCCCCAAAAAAAAATTTTTTTTTAAAAAGATTGACATCGTGTTTTAGACAAACAGCTTGTAGGTTAGCCAAAATTTATAAAAATGGGTCTGGTATGTATCAAATTATTTATTTATAGATTGTCATGGTTAATACCACCATTAACAGAAGAATATGTAGCTAAACGTACAGTTGAAGGTGTTTTAACCAATAGAAATAAAGTTATATTACCAAGAGCTATGTATTTAACTATATTAATAACAAGGTAACAGTAAGTTATACTTGAACTCCACTAGGCTATTTACAAAATTTATAATCCTTAAGTATACCAAATGTAAATGACAGTAATAATGAATCTGTAATTATTGAATTAAACAGAAGTTTTATCTCAAACTTATTTAAGTACTAGCTCAATACCCGGCCCAGGGCCCAAGATCTGCTTACTGGTCATCTATCTTTCTTGCTGGCTTTCCTGCTAGCCTACATCATCCATTACTATTATTAAAGGACAATATTGGTGCCAGTCATTATCACATATGTGATAGGACTGGTTAAACACTTTCCAAATATTATTTTTTCACAGAGATCATTGCTACGATAGATGAGTAATCAATGTTTCAACGATAGGAAGTGACGAACGCAAAAGGAAAACACTAGTTATCCCTCTATAAAACTGGCTGAAGTGACGCGTGATAACAGATACATGGGCGAATTTCTGCTCACTAAAAATTCGTTCGAAGATCAAAAGTTGTTATATGAGACTGTAAGAGTATATCTGACAATTCAAAAAAGGAATTGAATGTCATTAGATAAGAGAACACGAGAAAAATAGAAACAGTCCGTACATTTACGGGTGTTTATTCATTCTATACTTATAAAAACATGGTAATGCACGGACTTTTTCTACTTTTCTTTCATGTTCTCTTATCTAGTGACAGTCAATTTTGTTTATGAATTGTCAGATATCCTTTCATAGTCCCATACAACAACTTTTGGTCTTGAAAGGAATTATTAGTGAGCAGAAATTCGCCCATGTATCTGTTATCACCCGTCACTTCAGCCAGTTTTATAGAGGGATAACTTGTGTTTTCCTTTTGCGTTCGTCACTTCCTATTGTCGAAACATTGATTACTCATCTATCGTAGCAATGATCTCTGTGAAAAAATAATATTTGGAACGTGTTTAACCAGTTCTATCACATATGTGATAATGACTGGCACCAATATTGTCCTTTAACCTCAATTACCATAATAAACAGAGTTACCTCCCATTAACCGTTCATGGCAGTAAAACCGTTTGGCTGCAGACACAGTCCAACATTAATTTTTGGCTGTGTTAAACTAATAAATGATCTTTACCTTCATAAATCATGGCCTAAAACATTCAGGGGGTCATGCTGGTTAATTTGATACCACATGTGTGGGGGTGGATCGCTGCAACAAAGCGTGATGGGCGCACATACATCGATACATACACACACACACACATCTTTGATTTTATATGTATATATAGATATTCCTCTTGCTTTTTTACTTCAGTTTAATGCCTATCAAAGTACAACAATTACTGGTCAAGTTAACTGGAGCAGACCAAGCAATGGCAAATTTCCATGGAAACCAAAGATAATAAATGGAAAAGTTTATCATAGTATTTATAGCTGTTGTAATATATATATGATATATCTTTAAGTATATCCTATATATAATTTTGTTACATATATATTGTTTTATTATTTATATTCATTGAGGAATATATGTTACCCTTGATAGTGTCATGATATGCGCTTAATATGTTTTGGGGGCCTTCATTTATTTATTTTTTTACAAGAGACCCATTCCCTATAAACCAGAAACCAGCAACAGTAGACCTGGTTTGATGCTTTCTAGTATTTAATGCTCAAATATGTATCCATATATTTGCTTGGTTTTTAATTACATATAAATTGTAGTTTTATCTTAAAAAGTTTTGATAAATATCTATATAATCAATGTTCTTATAACGTTTTAAACCACCCAAACGTTGTTTGTTGCATTATATATTTTAATATACATGTATATAAAACCTATTTAATACCAACATTTTATATATTTTGATAATGTTCTAAAGAAATTAATGATTAAAGATTGTAATTTTATACCTGCAGCTTTTATATGTTTATATAAATTGCTATGTACAATGCGTACCTCTGTTAAACTTATAAATTACTGTTATTAAATTTAATTACCATAATAAACAGAGTTACCTCCCGTTAATTGCATTAAAACAGTTTGGCTGCAGGCACAGTCCAACATTTTTATAGTTATACGCCCACATTAAAATGTGGTCGTATATTGTCGTCGACGCTCTAGAGGCCAAAGTTATATCCAATTGACTTTAAATTTATACACAGTGTTTAAGGTCATGAGACGAAGAAGCCTATTGATTTTCAGCAATAATTTCCGATAATTACTGCCATAGTTATGGCCCTTTGATCACTTCAAAAATCTTTTGGGCGCTCTAGAGGTCAGTGTTAATATTCGATTGACTTTAAATTTATACACAGTGTTTAAGGTCATGCGATAAAGAAGCCTATTGATGTTCAGCGATTTCCGATAATTACTGTTATGGTCCTTGATCACATTGAAAAATCTAGTAGGCTAAAGTTAATATCCGATTAACTTTAAATTTATACACAGTGTTTAAGGTCTTGAGACGAGGAAGTCTATTCATTTTCAGTTATATTCGATAATTACTGCCAGAGTTATGGCCTATGATCACTTCAAAAAATCTTGTGGAGGCTCTAGAGGCCAAAGTTAATATCCGATTGACTTTAGTTAATATCCGATTGACTTTAAATTTATACACAGTGTTTGGGGTCATGAGACAAAGAATCCTATTGATTTTCAACGATTTCCGATAATTACTGCCAAAGTTATGGCCCTTGATCACTTTGAAAAATCTTGTGACGCTCTAGAAGCTAAAGGTATCATCCGATTGACTTCAGATTGATAATTACTTCAGGAGTTGTTACTCTTAATCAGATTTTAGTGTATTATAAATGTTTCATTACCAAAAAAAGTAAAAATATGCGACAACACTTGTTGACTGCCCGGACGTTTTAGCTGCTGTGGGCGTATGTTTCGTTGCCAGGCAACCTATCTTTGGCTGTGTTAAACTAATAAATGATCCTTACCTTCTTAAATCATGGCCTAAAACATTCATGGGCTGATGCTGGTTAATCCCCAGATCAGTGACCATGTCTCGGGGGAACAAAGTTCGACGATGGTTTCTGATAGAACTAGAAGGGACCCTATAGTGAAGATATTTATAGTATGCTACCTCTGAAAAAAACGGACTCAGTAGAGCCGAAAATCAAAGATGGGGCCAAAAATGGTCTGAAATAGAGTTTGACAAACATTGTTGGCGAATGACCCATGTAATATGTCCTTTTACAGGTTTATTTGGTAGCCGGACTAGTTTTTGATAGTTTCCAGTTCATACCACAAGCGATTGATCCAATATGGCGGCCACAATCCAAGATGGTGGCTGAAGGGGGCGGGGGAGATCGCCGCCCGAGCTGTGAAATTATGAGACCAAGTTTTTCTAGACCAGTTTTTTGCGTAGATTCCGAATCTGGGTGGTGATCAGGCTTTGAGGGGGTGTTTTCGAGATATTGGGTGGGGGGGGGTTCAAATGTCTACAATTGGGGGAAAATATGATTATGTTGACATAAATGATGATCATGTTATATATTAATAAAGCATAAAGTTCTAGGACTGTCCATCTCTAAATAAGTGTTTATGATACCCCTGGACAACTGTTTTGATTTGTGGGGAGGTTGATTTAAATGATGATTTTCTTAGATCTTGGTAAAAACATTACTTTTTAATTCCGCTGCACATCTCTATGTGTGTATCGGGCGAGGGAGGGGGCGAAATGTAATTTTGGGGACAGAAGCCCAAATTGACCTGAAAAGTGTTTTCATTCAATCTGATTAAAACAAAGATGCTATTTCGTTTCACTTTCTATAGTTCAAAATTTCGTTTTACTTGTCTTCACAACACTAAGATCTGGAAGTGTTGTTATATAATAGTCGGTCTAGTTGATGTGAGGAATTAGCCAATGAAACGGTATGTTACGGCGAGTACTTGGCGTGCCCTGCACGGAACTGGGGTAAACCCCTAGAATTAAACGTCAACCCTGGTTGATTAATCCATATAAATATATATTTCTATGGATTAATCAATGTCTGACGTCATAGGGTCAAAAGTCACTGGTATGACCCCTGACGCGATCTCCCAGTACAACTGGTCAGATCTTCATGTAGTGTAGGTCATCGAAAGTATATAAAAAAAAACGAAACGAAATATACATCTGTATTTTAATCAGATTGCCTTTTCGTTCAGTACCAGTTTCGTCATTCCAAATATTAAATTATAATGGTACTTTTCAAGAGATCTGGAAATGTACATAAAAACACAGTAAATCAGAAACATGTTTAGATATTAGTTTATTCTTAGTCTTCATCAGAAGATTCACAATCAAAGTTCATAATATGAGCGGGATAAATATCTTCTTGATGGCCAATCAACAGCTCGCATATATCCTTTGAATATGCTTCAGATACTCATTCACATTGCAAACCTTCATTCCATACTTTTATCGCAGGGTCATCTTGTTCGATCATTGGTTTTGCAGCCTGTCTCCATATTGTTGCAACTTAATTGTTGCGTTTAATGTGCAGCAAAAGACTACTCAGGTAAGATGGTAATAAAGAAAGAAAGGTTTGTTATTTTTCATGACCATTAAAATTCCTCCAGGAATCTACTGATGTTAAGTCGCCTTTCGCTGTACATGGTACAATTTTTTCTAAACCAGCAATTACGTCATTAGAAACATCATGTGTCTGTCTCAGTTCCAGTTCTTTAAAAAAAATTGTTAGAAAGTTGGAAAAAGAAAGACAGATAGTCATTACCACAGAAAGCATGTAGGCCGAGATATTCTCGACACTCCCAACATTAATCTTGATTGGATCCAAAAATATATCAAGATTAGTATTGAAAGTGTCGAAAATATCCTAGAACTGACAACAAACGATGAGGACATCTAAATAGCCTACCTTCTCCTCTTCCTATTGCAAATTAATTGAGGCTCCGAAACAAATTGTATTTTACGTTCTTTCTCGAGCGAAATAGACATCCTAAAAATTCTCCTCGCAAACTATGATCCAAATATACACATTTTGATCGATAATGAAACGGGCAAAGGTAGAAAATATCGCGGAAGGCGACTTACATCAGTAGATGACGCTAGAAGAATAATTTTCTGGGAGACAACAATAACAGACCTTTCTTTATTGCCACCTTGCCGTAACTGTCTTTTGCTTCGTGGCTGGAATAAAGATTTACAATGTGAATTGGTATCTGAAGCATATCCAAAGGATATATGCGAGCTGTTGGTCAGCAACCAAGAACATATTTATCCCAATCATATTATGAACTTTGATTTAGAATCTTTTGATGAAGACTAAGAATGAACTAACATTCAAACATGTTTCTGATTTACTGTGTTTTTTATGTACATTTCCAGATCTCTTGAAAAGTACCATCATAACTTAATATATTGACTGACGAAATAGGTACTGAAAGAAAAAGCTAACGAGAAAAACCACTTTTAAGGTCAATTTTGAACCAAATGATTTCTGTCCACAAAAACACATGTGTACGCAGATTGAGAAGTATTAATATTTTGGAAGTTATTGACGAAGAAGCTGTTTAAACACTGACATAGGGCATCGGGTGTGTATCATATAGAACACTTTCCATTCACCACGCTCCGCCATGCTGAAGAGGCGATGGTCGATTCTTGCGTCTGTAATGCAGCATATAGGATTGATATTTATCGCTTTTGCTTTAAACTATCGCTGTCTAGTGGTAAACGCGTGGTACGCAATACAAATTGTATGCTTCCAAGTCACTGAATAGTTTTTATACGCCCACAATTTTTATCGCATTTTGACGAAACTTAAAATATAGGTTTATCCCCCAAAGATCTCGGATCGGATCGTAACTTCATGGTTTATGGCCCCTCCCCCCCCCCCCATTGTACGAACAGTCGCATTTTTAGCTTGTGGTCTCTCTAGAGGTCACAATTTTTATCCCATTTTAAAAACCGCGCAGTTTGTTTGGAAAGTCAAACTAGTATCATCATCGAATAATCCAATGTTTGATTTTATGTTATTTACTATATGGTTGGTGTATCAGTAACAGTAATGGATCGAGAACGGAGACCCGTGGGACAGCTGCAGCTGGGACCGTTAATGATTCATAGGAGGCTTCATTTACGATAGCCCTATGTTGTCTGTTCGACAAATAGTCTCTGAACCATTCTAATAAGTCTCCTCTGATCCCAACTGCCCCAAGCTTATGAGAGAGTGCAGCATACCAACCCCTGTTAAAAGCTTATAAGATCTATTAGTTGGTATGTAGTTGAATCCCCTTGCAAAAAAACCGCCTTGAAAAAATTAGTAATAATATTGTGGTCCTTTTGTACATTTTGATTATGAAGCTCAATAAACAAAAATTTTGAATTGTCATTACATTTGCTGATTTCCAAATAGTCGGAACGGTTTTTAGTCCAAGTGAAAGATTAAAGATATTACATAAAGTTTTGCTAATTTCGAAAGACATGGATTTTAGGAATTTTCCACTGATCTCTTTTGGGCCTGTAGCTTTTGAAGTATCAATGATAGAAATCATATCTTCAAACTCTTTATAGGTGTTAGTTTTATGTGACAAAGTGAAATAGGATTTTGTTCGGAAGTTGTGCATTTGAGTAATCAAGCTGTGATCGGTTTATAAAATATTCGTTTAAACAATGCGCTTTGTCCTTCGGATTACAATATAGAACCCCATTATACATCCTAATGATGGTTCGAATTTCGTGAAAATCGGACCGAAATTGCCCGATTAAATGGAAGCTCCCTGTACACAAATAGTGTAAAAGTATGGACCCTTTAGAAGTCACAATTTTTATCCGATTTTGATGAAACTTAAAATATATGTTTATATTCCACATGTACAGCTGTGCAATTAGAGTTATTTGTGGACGAAGTGCAGGGGTGTACATTTAAACCTAAAGAGGAACCTCTCGAAATTCAGATTTGCTCATCTATATTATGCGTAGTTATTTCCCCATACCCTTCACCCCGACCCCTGAAACTGAAAGCTACCCTCTAAAATGCTCGACAAAACTGTGTAGCAGTTGTGTTTAATTCAGTTATTCATTTTAAAAATCAGAAAAAAATAATAATTCCAATTGTCTCATGATTATTGAACTGTAATTGTTCGCATAGCGTTTCCTTAGATTTATGTTGGCTTTTCCCAAAATTACAAAAGTAAAGTTCAGATTAAACGGATATGACGATGAAATAATTTTATGGACCATCAATATATATATGAATATTATATAATTGATAATTAATTATGTTTTAATGTTGATGTAGTTAAATATGTAGAGAGGTTACTATCGTGATCACTTATTATTACATACCCCCGCTAGTCAATTAAAGATACATGATTGATGGTTGTCGTCATAACTTAAAGGCATTCATTTCTAATTTAGTTTCTGGAAAGTAGGATTAGTCTTGGTTTTAAACCACCCGGAAGTAACGAGGGCAAGTATAGGTAGTTTTCGTGCCTATCTTATTTTAGATCAAGAACGAACAACATCGGGTTCAATACATTTATAAATTAGTAGTATACATAAAAGTATTGACGTATATTGCTAATTTGAAATGTTAGCCATCTTACATATTGTGATACTGTTGGTGATACCAATAGTGAATGGTTTTAGAAATGGGGAAAATATACAAGGAGCTAGTGAACAACTGTATTGTGGTCGTGAACCATTAAGAAGATTACCATTCCATGCATCTGAAAGATGTGATGGTGCTTGTGCACCCCAGACAGACGATCCACCATATCGTATTGTTTTAGAAAGTGATGAATCAACATATTGGGACGATGATGTCAGAAGTAAGATATGTTTATATATTACAATTCAATAGAAGTATTCAACAAAAGAAGCCGATCCTCTAAACTAATGATGGGAATAGTATAACAGTCAAATTAGTTATACATTTAGGCCAACATTCGAAAAGTAGAATATTGGCTGATTATTTATCATCGTTAAAGTTTTTCACCATTAATACTTTAGATATTGAGATATAATTCTACAAAGTATAAAGTCAACGCTAGTTTTTTAATAAAACGATTTTAAGATTCCTTAATTCGATCACAAATACTCGAACCGGGGGGGGGGTGTTCTTACATAGACATTTTAAATGTTGTTTAATGTAATTACCACCATAATATATGACCATATATTGTATCTAGCGCTTGTAAATCATAACGTAAATAGTAAATTTAATGTTTTGTCACTATTATTATAATTTGTGGAACTAACGCAGCCATGGAATCAAAAACTGTGTTTTAATGCTTAAAAATGCGGAAACACAAAATCAATTTTGAAATGTACATAACGCGACATATAAGTAACTGTAGTTTGCAACAAGGAAAGGCGCGGTCTCGGATATGTTTTGAGCTCCAACTTTCACACAGACAAAGTAAATAGCTATAATTTGTTTCATTTTGGCATCTGATTTTCAATTTTAAACTCGTATGTAGATATGAAATAGCTAGTGCAATCTGAGGCTACTCCTTTAATTATCCCAAGGCATTCATATAATTTAATTACACGGGATTGGTCTTAGCGTTATTCACATAACCTATTTCTAAATATATAAAATTGGGGTCCAGCTACCGAAACAAACACATACATTCTATTAAAAAAGAACGAATCTAAACTAAACCTAATCAAATTTTGCGAAAATTACCAAAATATGCCATAGATAATACATATTGGAGAAAATCTTGACTAGCAAGTGGTGTTCGAAGAATTTAGGATGTAAAACTGTTACATTTCTGAAATCCTCGACCGTTTAATCCGAACATTCACTAGTGTGATTGAAGTGGGATTATATGAAAGTGTGATTATATGTATTAAATTATGATTATTTTTTGGTATTTTATGATCTATTGGTCAGTACTAATCCTCCAGTACTAACCCTCCATGGGGAGTTACACATCTTTACCCCCGGGGGAAACGTTTTGGCGCCATTTTGAATTTTGGTCTCGCCAAATCACGCACGAGAGCACTAATTCCTCAATACATATTAACACCACAGATTTAGAAAATCCAATCAATTTTTAGCTATGGCCTGACTATGACGTGAAATTCAAAATGGCCTCCAAGGTTGCCACCATTCCATATAAATGAACATAAACTCCTTAATATTCATGTCAGAGAACACGTTTGGTGTCTATACCTGGGTTTTAGGGGTGAGGTAACCCATTACAACCAAGCCCTAGATGGGAAATTCAAGAAGGTGGCCACCAAACTATATAAACTGTCACAATAAGAATCCCAGAACGTTGATTTTGGTGTCTATACATATGTAATGGGGGTCAATTTTTTCATTAAAACCATTCGCCAAATTATTAAAAAAAAAATACAGGATTACACGCTATTATCAGCTCAAAATGTAATCATTATTTGTTAGCGGTGTCTTATTCCTTTTTCGAGATTAACTTTAGCAAGCATATGATTTGATTGTGACCATCTGCAGTCCATTGGGACATTGTTATTCTCGTATTCCGTTTATCAGATAAGTGTAATAACTTAAACATAATTTCATTCCTTTGAACAAGTTTGTATTAGTGTGAAGAAAATACATATACAGACATAGTATTTGTGCACAAAACAATGATTATACTCATTTCTGTAGTTATTAGATATTACATTCGAATGGTTCCAAACGTCCAATGAGAAGTGTTATTTATACAATTGAATAGGTGGCACTCAGGAAGATGACTGCAAGAAGATTTCATACACGTCTCTTAAGATGATGTTTGTAAAAGGCTTGAACACGTAGAACAAGGTGCATTTGTTTACTATTTTAGCAGCTTTGGTGTAAATCACATACGGACATAAACAGAGTCCGAAAAATCAATGAGGAAAAACATCAGAAGTTAATCCAGAAGACAATAAAGGAGCCAGTCCATGTTCAAGAGCAAGTGCCACGCCTCGTCAACAGCGATCTGCGGGGAATTATGCCCCAGTTTATAAAAAGATCTGTATTATTTACACATCAATGGTGAAAAGAAAACATTCCGAATGTTTGTGGGTTAGAATGGGGTGGATTAGTGCGCGAGTCAATTTCTGAATTCAGTTGTCTGTTTTCAAGACGGCATATATTAACTAACAAGTGAACTTCGGGTGTACACTTGTCAGATAATTTGGACTATATTCATTTATATGAAGCTCTTCGCGACGAGGGAGTGAAGCTTGCTAACATGGACTGACTTCTTCATTGTCTTCTGATGTTCCTTCCTCTTTGTGAAGCAGATATTGTTCTAAAATCTTCTTTTGACCATTTTACCAAAATGCCTATTCTACTGCAGTTATTCTTGGCTAGCATTGTCATTCTTGTTGTCAGATCGCCACATTCAAATCATAGGTTTTCTAAAATTAATCTCAGGAAATGAATAAGGCAACTTTACCAATTAAAATTATTACATTTGCAGCCTTTAATACACCTTGTAATCTCGTGACTAATAAATCTAAAGTAAGTATATTTTAAAGGTTTCAAGTTATGTTAATGGCAAAATACGGCCGTGTGCACCATCGATAATAATTATTCTTAGATTTGACAATGACTATTATGGTGGCCGTCTTAGATTTGACTATTGGAAAGATTAGCCCCTACAACCTACTCATTTGAAAGGTTATGAGAGTTTATATAGTTCGGTGGCTGTCTGACGACCATATTGGATTTCACGATGACATCTGGCGGTTAGATTTAATGGATTGCTTGACCCCTGAAACCCAGGAATAGATATCAATATTGTCCACTAACATGAATAGGAGAGTAGTTATAGTGTATTTAGTGTACGAATAAAGTTTATTAATAATTCGTGTCTGTTATATGCAATGGTAGTCATCTTAGACGGCATTATGAATTTAGCCTTTCCTCCCCTTGATTCAGAGAGAACCCCCCTCCCCCTCAGCTGATCGACTGACGTCATAACGCAAAATTGATGGGATTTGTATATACACCAAAATCAACGTTCTATGATTGTGACAGTTTATATAGTTTGGCGAGGACCATTTTAGATTTCACAATGCCGTCATGCGTTTTCCATCTAGCGGGTGGTTGTAATGGATTGCTTCACCCCTAAAACCTAGATACAGCTAGCCACCAAACTTGTTTCCTAACATGAAAAGTAATTACGTTATGTTCATTTATATCTTAGATCCCATTTTGAATTTCACGTCATAGTGACGTCTTACTTAGTGTAAGAATGGTGAGAATTTTGAAATCTGTGGTATCGATTTCCTACATACATGCTGGGTTTAGAGGTCAATATTTATAGTTTTTTTTAGGAATTAGTGCTCTCGTACGTGATGGGGTGAGGCCAAAATTCGAAAAAGTTTCCCCAAGGAGGGTTAGTACTGGACCAATAGATCATAAAAAAATAAACAAGAACCATATTCCCCCAGTTAATTTCCAGGAATTATGAATGAAAAAAAACAGACTGCTTTGAACAGTGCAAAGGTCACTGACGTCATCTCAATCTTTATGACAGGTACCTTTCTTGCAAAATACCCAGAGAATAGGAGGGGGGGCGGTGGCTATGTGGGTAAGACGCTGACTCACTAGCCTGGAGGTCGACTGTTCAATCCCTGCATTGGCTGGGAAAGTTCATCCAGATTTTCCGGTGTGGTTTCCTCTTGTCAGTGATGCAGGACGAAGGGCCTGTCTTGTCCTTCGGATGGGACGAAAAACCGAAGTCCTGTGTACACATTAGCGTGCACGTAAAAGATCCCTTGGCAGTTGGAATACGATATAAGATTATGCCGTACCGCCGCTGCCCCGACAAAATTCCCCTCATAGCACACTGCATGCCGTATGTCCGTCTTCGTTATCCCAGTTCGGAGCAGAACAGCAGGACGTTAACCCCATTTCATTTCATTTCATTTCACCAAGAGAATAACGTTTGAAAATCAGATCTTATTCTTGGATATGGGATTGTTGTAAGTTATGTTTTAACACTACTCAAAGTTTTGCAAGTATAGGTAATGATAGTATATATGTGAAATTAGAACTTGTTTATTGATGAGGATAGTATAATAAATTAAGTGTAATTAGAACTTCTTTATTCTTGAGGATAGTAAGTATATATTGGAATTGTTTATCGCTGATTATAGTATATCTGTAAATTGTTTATTTCAGTCTCTCTTGTAACTATTGATGAAGACAGTAACTGGAGAGTTAATGGTTTTTCTATTTTTGCCCTGGATACAGACGATAAAATTGTAGGGGCATGGGCACCAGATGATATTGTTCAGTTGACTTGTGGTAGCTCTGCAGAAGGCATGACTGCTGTCCACGCAGTCGCTGATTCTACCAGAACCCGAGTCAATGTCAGATGGACACCGGCAGGAAGAAATCTTGGCAACGTGACTTTTAGGTATATATTCTATTATAAATTTCGTTATAAAGATTTAAGATAACATACAATGTATAAAAAAAATACCCCATGTCTCTAGAAACAAGTAAATGGATGTTTAAAGACTAAATAGTGAAGCAAACAACTAAAATACAGAAATTAATTTTTTATATATTATAGAGCCGTTGTTGTTCACAGTTTAAGTTTATTCTGGAGTATAGCTTCTGACCGTACTCTATTTCCAGCCAGAACAGGTAAGTGGAAACATGATCTTTACTATATAAAGCAGGCCCATCGAAACCCGGGGTCGGGGATTTTTCATCCACCCTACTCCCCCTTCTCCACACCCATCTCCCCAATAATTTGTAAATATGTGTTCATTGGTTTAAAAATTGTTCCTGGGGCGTGCATTTTGGCTCGCTACGCTGTCAGTAGCCAACTGACACCCATCTCCCCAATAATTTGTAAATATGTGTTCATTGGTTTAAAAATTGTTCCTGGGACGCTTATTTTGGCTCGCTACACTGTCAGTAGCCAACTGATAATGTGGGAGCTAGGTCAAGTTCGGGGTTCTCAGGACCACTTGGTACAGCAGAGGGAGCTGAGATCTTTCAAGTTCTAGTAGCATTCCTTCCAGGTCACATCCGATATTACTAATTTGACACTCCCAAATTCCGCCGAATTGACTTGCATGAGATAACAAATCACCAGCCTTCGCTTCCCCTATAACTTTGTAAACCAGTTCATATTTCAGCAAATAGAGAGGGTGGAATTATGATTTTTCCAAGATATATTATAGGGGTTCTCCATCAAATGGGGAGTTGAAGGGGAAATAAACATAAAATGTTTACATATAAGTTGATTTAATAAATAGTTATTTAGATAAAGTGCTAAGAGTATAAAAATTGATTTTAAAATTTCTTTAATCATACAAAATCAACTGAGCACAGGCACTGAACAAAGCAGTTACAGTATGCAGGGAGGGGGCTAAAACTTTTGATCTGGGGCGCCACATAGGCTTGTGGGCGCCCTGAACCAGCCATGATCCAGAGATTACATTAGCTAATTATAATTAGTATGCGTCTTAAGTGATTATGCCAAGCAAATTTACTTTTTAAGTTGCACTGTAATAATAACGATCCGTGCGAGATGATATTAGGCCTTCTTATTTCTTAAGAATGGATACTGGTAGTTACGACTTCTTAAGATCTAAAACTACGTTCTTGTATGCCTAGAATGAAATGTTTGTTTACGTTATTTTTGGAACTTCGCTCCAAATCAGTGATGCGTGACGGCTAAACCCCAGGAATGAAAATCCATATTTTGGGATCATTACCAAGACCTACAAACAGCAATCTGATTAAAATACAGATTTATATTTCGTTTCGTTTATTTATACTTTCGATGGTCTACACTATATGACGATCTGACAAGTAGTAGCGATAGGTCGCGTCAGAGGTCATACGAGCGGCTTTTGAACCTATGACGTCAGCATTGATGTTTCTAACGGATTACCCACAGTTCTGTGCAAAACAGGCCTAAAACTCACCGTAACAGATCGTTTCATTGGCTAATCCCTAACACCACTCAGAACACGTCAATGATACCAACTCTTCCAGATCCTAGTGTAGTAAAGACGAGTAAAACGAAATCTTGAACTATAAAAAACGAAACGAAATAGGATCTGTGTTTTAATCAGATTGTACAAACAGGCTACGCAAACTTAGTTTAGAATACTATGACGACAGTCTATTAGTATTTCATCGACGACGACGACGACGACGACGACTGTTCGATAGCTATCGGCATCATTAGAAATTCACATTGTATCGGAAATATCTCCAAATTGTGGGTTTCATGGTTTGACAAATCGGGTTTCAACGTATTGTTTGTCATTTCAGGTAAAGATGCTATAGATATTAGAGACTTTTGGAAAGCTAAATTCCTGGTCCGTATCGCGTATCTGTATCGATTTTGCGTGTGACGTCATCAATACGTGTGTATTTCTCATACGTGACACGGCACACGGATACGACAGCCCGTATCGAAGAGCTTTCATACGGAAAAGGTCCGTAAAAGATCGTCGTCTTTTTAACCTATTTTTGGCTACTTTTAGACACTGAAATGTTTTGCCGCAGCGTTTTTATGAATCTATGTGTATCCTAGAAGACGAAGGTGTATATTTGATGTAATTTTAACCATGATAACGACTGGAATTTAATCATTATATTTGATGAGCTTTTCGCGGAATTTTCATATTTTCCCTGTCTGTCTGTCTGCATGCTGGTTGATCTACGTGCTAAATTGAGGAAGGTGGGACCTTGCAAATCTGTAAAAGGGGTATGTACTTTCTGAAATGATACATTAGTGAAACGTCGAGTCGAAGTCGAAGATTTTTAATAAGATTCGACACTAATTTTTTTTTTAATTTTAAATAGCGCAGCAACTGTCGAGCACTTGCCTGGTACTGATGTTGATCTTGGTAGATAACTGTCATCATGCTGTAATATAACTAAGCTCAGATCAGCTACCCATACGTACGCGGCGCGAAAATCTGCCAAAACTCTAAAACTACATTGACGCGATACGGATACGTGATAGGGATGGGGAAAATTCCACTTGCCAAATGTCTCTATTGTCCAACATCTTTAACGTATTGTTTGTCATTTCAGGTGAAGATATTATAGATATTGCTACACACTTTGATGAACTAATTAACGATACTTTGGTAGGGGATAACATAGATCTAGAACATATGCCATCCATCGATTTATTTGAAAAAACTTTCACAAACAGATTTGAATCTGGCTGGGATCCTGAGGATTTGTTTGGTGCGTTCAATCGCGATGTGACTATGGATGACTTCTATTTCGATAATCGTAGAGAAGGCACTTTTACTTCTCCCTTTGGTGGGCCATCAACGAGATTTGGCGAAAATCAACCCGATTCGATCGTTAATCGTTTCCTTAATGGTGGATTCCCTGGTATGTCACCTCCTTCGTCAATGTTTGGACAATCTCAAAATGGATGGAACCCCATGGGTGCGTTTGGTAACACAAATCAACAACAAAATACACCACCATGGATGCAAGGTTTTCCAGGAATGCAAAATAACATGCAAGGAGGAATGAATATGTGGGGAAACAATCAACAATTTGGACAAAATAATATGCAGCCCGGCATGCAACAAAATAACAATATGTTTGGAAATAATCAACAATTTGGACAAAATAATATGCAGCAAAATCAACAAAATCCTTTCCAAAATTTTCAACAAATGCCACAAAATAATATGTTTGCCAACAGGCCACAGAATAACCCCCAGATGCCCGGAGGAATGTTTGGTAATATGCCACAAGGTTTGCCACCTGGTATGGGCGGACCTCAAGGTGTTCCACAAAATAACATGTTTGCCAACATGCCACCTGGTATGGGCGGACCTCAAGGTATTCCACAAGGAATGGGAGGGCAACAGGGAATGTTTCCAGGAATGAGTGGTAATGGTATGATGCCGGGCATGCAAATGGGTATGCAGCCAGGTGTAGGGATACCACAAGGAATGGGCATGCCACAGGGGTTAGGCGGAACGGGATTCGGAACCCCACAAGGATTAGGTGGTGCAACAGGAAATGTGGGGACGCCTCCGGGAATAGCATTGGGTGGCCCTCCAGGTGCAGCTGGTGGCCCCACAGGTGCTACTAGTAGTTCTACCTCCATTTTTGCTTTATTTGGTAGAAAATAAATCATTGACCTTGAGGTAATTATTTTATTGTTTGAATAATTCATGATTAAAATCATTATCATGTTCTGTACTGGTAGCATTTTAATATTGTAGAAAGCAAGAAACTAACACCAGCATCATATGATTTACAAAACGTAATAAATATAGAAATAAGTTACTTGTATTATTATTATCTTTTTAAATACAATAATTTAACGGTCAATTATTTACATCAATCTGGGGCCGCTGTGGTTCAGTGGGTTAGGAGTTGGTTCGCTGACCAGGAAGTCCGGGGTTCCATCCCGCTGTAGACTAGGCCAAGAACGTCCTAGTTTGTTGTTTTTTGTTTTTTCGTGTGATTTTCCCTTGTCAGTGGTGCATGTCGGAGGGCCTGGCAAAGACAGCGTCTAGTCGTTCGGGTGGGACGAAAAAACCCAGGCCACGTATACAAATTGGCTTGCATGTAAAAAAAAAACCTTGACAGTTGGAATTCGATATAAGAGTCATAAGTAAAACGTTAAACCTCATTTCATTTCATTTCATTTCAGTTACGGCAATGGTTGCTATTCTAACACAGTATTCAATCAGAAACTCAGCAACGAATAAGATGGAAAAAATTATCTTGTTGTTATAAAACAAGACTGCAATTGCCAATCCATATTGTTCAAATTTCATTTTGCATACGCAACTCGATTTATTGTGTTCCGAAATCTTTTAATTCTTACAGGGAAGCAGACCAGATATTACGAGCATTAATGTGTCTTAAAACGTTATTTTTTAATATAAAGGTAACGATTATTATCGGGTTTTATCGGGGGGGGGGGGGGTAGAATGGCCGAATGGTTAGCGCGTGCGCTCTGTGTCATTATGTCTGTCATTGAGTCAATTGGCGTGGTTTTGATTCACCGGTTGTACGTGTCCAGCGTCGTGGGTTTTCTCATAGTCCTCCGGTTTCCTCCCGCTGTTGGAGACCCCTACGTGCAAGCGAATTATTGAAATAAAATTGAACCATATGTTTGTCCAGAAATGACCTGGTTTGTGTTGAGTGAGACTTAAAAAAATCCCGATGAACTTTGATGAAGCTACCGAGCAAACGTCCTACTCACTGAGCCACCGTAGCTCCCACGTCATTTCGAATCCGGACACGGACCTTGGTTATTTTATCCCATATCCCATGCGAACGATATACGTTGTCCCATGCCAGGCCGGGGGGTCCTACACCACTGACAAGGGGGAATCACTCATACAAAATTCCGATGAACTTTGATGAGGTTAGATAGCAAACGTACACCGTAGCCCCCACTTCATTTCGATTCTGGACACGGGACCTTTTTTTTTTATCCCAACCGAAAGACTATACGTTGTCCCTTGCCGGGGCCTCCGGCCTACACCAGTGACAAGGGGCAGCCACGCATAAAAAATCCCGATGAACGTTGATGAAGCTAGAGAGCAAAGAAAGATTCGAATGAAGACTTATAATCGCATAAAAAATCCCGATGAACGTTGATGAAGTTAGAGAACAAAGGAAGATTCGAACGAAGACTTAAAATCGAGTACAGAATACTATCTGTGCAAGAGCAGATTAAAATTGATTAAGATAAATTCCGTACGGTAGTCAGTGCACATGCGCATACGTTGTGACGAAGCGAGAGTACGAGAATGCGAGAAGGCGAGAAATAATATTCTCAAAGGAGAGAATGCCAGGGAACGAGAAGTCGAGGAATTTCAAAGACGAGAAAGTGAGAAGTCGAGGGCGAGAAGTCGAGAAATCGAAGGCGAGAAGTCGAGGGCTAGAAGTCGAGGGCGAGAACGCGAGGATTTTCAAAGGCGAGAAGGGGGGTTGGATTGCTGAATGGTTAGCGTGCGCGCGCTGTATCATAAAGTCTGTCATTGAGTCTACTGGCGTGGTTTCGAATCCCCGGTTGTACGTGACAAGGAGTAGGGTCGCCTGTCCAACCTCGTGGGTTTTCTCCGGGTCCTCCGGTTTCCTCCCACTGCTAAAGACCCCTACGCGCAAGCGAATTATTGAAATAAAATTAAAACCACATGTTAGTCCCGAAATGACCTAGATGTGTCGAGTGGACGTTAAACCCCATTTCTCTCTCTCTCTCTCTTCAAAGGCGAGAAAGCGAGAAGTCGAGGGACGAGGGAACGATACGATAGGTATTTCCACATATCGATAAGAAATCAAAACTGCGCTACGGACAATATGAAACGAAATGAAAATATCACAAACTCTTCATATGTAACATGCATCAAATTTCTCTTTTTCAGACGTTAAACCACATTTCATTTCATTTTATAAATTAGTTTATAGTTAATAACGGGATTATGGGATTAAAGCCATTAAACTTCGGAAATCTCCACGACAAATCGCGATATTATATCCATGTCGATATTTCAATTTCAACTTGTATCTTCTGTAAAGAAGGCTGAGTTTTCGATTTGAATCGTGGATTCTTTCTTCGTGTCTAACGATATCTATAGTTTCATATCTGGGTTTTGTGTGGGCTGTCTCGTATAAAAGTTGTATAGAGGGGAGTAACTCTTTTTATCCGTTTTACTGTAGGCTGACCACCACGTGTGCGTTTTTTGGTTAACATTTTCGTCTAGTATAGAAGACGAGTGTCTGGAGCAACTTCCTACTACTCACTCACGACAGAGTAATTACTCTTTCATGACGAAAACGCTAAACACGCTGTACACTTTGTTTTGTGATCACATTTCACAATGCTCTATTCTAACATGATATGCTGTATAATATTTAAACTAGAGGTAGCATGTTAGTAAACCTGTATTGTCGTGCAAGTAAAATAATCCTTAACAGTTGGAATTCGAAATAAAAGTATACAGTAGCGCAGGTATAGTTGGCTAAGAGGCTGCGGGGTCGCAGTTAACTTTTAGTGGGGGTCCGCAATTGCGTTTTGCAGACCAGAAAATCGTTCTCTAACGAACTCTAAACAATGAGCATAGAGACAAGACAGGGTCCCACGACAGTGGGCCATTGGGCAAGTTAGAACAAAATATAGGGCAGATATAGACCCAGGGGTAGCTCAAGTTTCGGTTCGTCTGTTGGTTGATGTCGGGATTCAAAATAAACACTTTCTGTTTCGGTTTAGGCTAGGGCTGTGACAGTCCGCAAAACCACAAAGCCTGGGCTCAGAGGTGGGCCGGAATGGACTGCCAATCTCGGCGTAATGGGCGCCCCTCCGGGATGAGGCACCCACCAATCTTGCCGTTTTTGGCGCCCCATTGATCCAGTAGTGGGCACCCAACCAATCTCCGTATTATGCATTATGTGCTGCCCGACAATTGTCATCATATGTCATTATGAGCGCCCCTCCGGGATAAGGCACCCTACAGATCATGCCATTTTGGGCGCCCAATCAATCAAGTGGTGGTGTTAATCGTGTAATCCATTATGAGGCACCTCACTATTTGGGGGCGCCTCATATATAACGACATGAATGGCGCCCTGCCAATCTCGACGTGGGCGTCGAACCATTATCATTCGGCTTTATGGGCGTCCAGCACGCTGGTCGTTGGCTTCGTATTGCCTGATGATCCCTGGCGGCTGCATATTACAAACAATAGGTGAGCTAAGATCGGCAACTTTTTATTTGTGGGGGTGGGGGGGCAGAGTTCGGTAGAGAACGATTTTCTAGGCTGTGAAACGCCATTCCGACAGTCCAATTTTCAAAATTTTCCGGGGGAGGTACTTTTATTTCGAATTCCAACCGTCAAGGTTATTTTACGTGGACGACAATCCAGGTTTACTAACATGCTACCAATAGTTTAAATATTATACAGCATATCATGTTAGAACAAAACATTGTGAAATGTGATCACAAAACAAAGTTTACAGTGCGTTCGGCGTTTTCGTGATAGTCAAGTAGCCAAACCCCATTTTAAGCCCTGACATGGAAATATAGTCCACCTAACGTTTTTTGATGGATTATATTTCTTATTTCTTCAATATGTGCAGATTCAGAATCCGAATGATGCCATCCTGGCATCCTTGGGGAAATATTCAAGATGGCCGCCATGAGGCATTTTCTGGTTATTTAGTGGGGTAAAATTCATGACGACAGTTTCTCTCGGACTCAGAATTGAAGGCGGTTTCGGTAGGAATTCGACCCACTGAATGCAATGAGCTTGGGTATTCTTCCTAAAAGTAACGGCTAATTCCGCTAGGGGTCCAAATTCAAAATTCAAAAGTTTCGATGAGTTCCTTAAAAAAAAGGTGTGTAATATATTGAAATATAGATTTTCGGTGTCAAATAAATCAGATATAAACATAAAAAACGTGTTCCGACCAAAAGTTATTCCACGCCGAGCTCATATTCAAAAAATGGCGACCAATTCGATGTTAGTGATGTGATAATGTAATATGTCAAACTATAGGTTTTCGGGGTCACTGAATTCATATCTTAACAGCTGGATGTCCTATGATCGAAATTAACGACAATATGGTTCTCAAACCCGACATTATGGCTAAGTTTAAGAGACCATGGAAAAATATAGTAATGTAAAAACATTTGTATCAAGAACAACCAATCCGGGGATATTCTTCCCCTTGTGTTCTTATACACGATCAAAGACAATCAACCATCAACCATCCGACTACCGTGAGTTGAAAGCAAATGTTTCTAAAAGCTATATGGTGCTCACATATTTGTTTTGCCCAAACTCACATATTTGTCGCTTAAATCACTGTATGTACCTTGACTGACAGTTATTAGATTACTCATACGCATGGGTAAAGCTGGAGTTTCGTATGGCGCTGGTAAACATTTTCCATTCTTATTCCCCTCCGTTTCTAGTAGAGAAGGGGACACGGGCGGGTGTCAGAGTGGATTAAAATGTGCAAATCGCTCTTCGTAGCTTTTGTTCGTATGGCCATGTAATTTGTGGTAAACAGCTTGAGTCTTAAATGATAACCACAAATACCCGCCCCAGAATGAACGTGTAGCTGCACTATTATATCAGAAGTAAGCACTAGTTAACCTTTAGAAACATTTGCTTTCAACATATGGTCCAATGGTGGATTATGTTTGGCTGTGAAGCTTTTATGTTCTTATAAGAATACAAGGAGTAGAGTGTCTTCGAGGTAGTT